GGGGGTAGCTGGATAAAAAGAAGAGAGCGTAAGGAGATGGGAGCATCGGAAATCGGAACAACGAACCTTACTCATCAGTTAATCGCGTGCCGCCTGGGTGGCAAGATTTGCTCAAGGTAATCCTATGAGATGAGAATTACACGTGGTTTCGCATTTACTGTCTTCGCGATCGTGAAGTCTGACCTCTCCGTAAAAATGGTGAAGAAGGGCCGGGCGCAACTACCATCTCCACACCTCTACCATTTCAATGGTTAGATTTTTTTTTGCTCAATAAAATAATAACCATACAAGGCAGACCACTTCAACAAAGCACTGATTAGTCGAGTTCAGTCGACGTCTCTGTAAAAATTTTGCTTTGCAAAAATTCCTACTTGCTGGATTCTTCGATCAGAGCTACAGCAATAGAGATTCTTTTGCGAACAAATAGTAGAACAAGGAGCACAATGAGTAGAGCGACGCTGACTATGATAGCTGGAAGAATAAAAAATATTTTTTTTATTTCAAAGAGATTGGGTTAAACTCACCAACAGCTAGCCATGTAGTGGGCATTTCAAAGTAAACACTGAATATGGGCTGGAACGAGTAGTCGTCGACCGCTCCGGCTTTGACCAAATTCGACCACTTGAACCAACTGTATCCACAACCTGAAACAACAAATTGAAAAGAAAACTGCAGACACTAGTCGGTGGTCCTTCCTACCTGCTCCAAGGACTCCAATTATACATAGAATCGAGGTCCATATCAAAATCTGCAAGTTTTTTCTTTTTAACTTTCAGTTCTCTCGGCGTTTCCGACTAGGAAGAGCATGCACGGCGCATTCCAAGAGCATGTAAAAACACTTCCTCGGTTTAAGGATAAAACAGTACCTGCCACCACGATTTCGAGAGATCATGAACTATTTTTGTAATCACACCTTCAGAGTTGACGACTTCTCCGATGTATCTGAAAATGAGTCGCGTCAAGTTGATAGTGCAGGAATTAATGTAATGAAATAGAAATAATTCTTTTGATGCTTTATAATGGTGCCGATGTGTGTGGGAAGCCACGCCCAAAACTTACTTTTCGCTGTCGTTCACCAGTTTATCAGGTGGTATGGTTCCGTCATCTCCAAACATGTTTTTCAAAGTGTCAAGTGAAGCATTTCCTTTTTGAAGATTATTTATAGCGTCTCCAGCTCCAATGAGAATTTCCGGTACACATCGTCCGAGCACTGAAACAACAAAATTTGCACTTTCTCTAAATGGAACTCGTAAGAACAACATAGAGCCCCGTGAATTTTGGAAAAGGAAATTAAAAGTGTATTGTATCTGCAAAGTGCTGAAATATAGGTAAAAATATGATGGTAAGGGAAAGTCCCGCCCATTTTCCACGCTCCTGGGGCGGGAACGCTATCGGCTTTGCTTCTCTCTCATTGACAGAACCCTACCCTGGCTCTGTAGAAGCGATTACTCGTGGATAGGCCAGATTCCAACTGTCACATTCAGACTGTTTGCCCACACGGTATCGTCATCTTGTATATTTCTACTTGCTCTTTGTTCTTCAGCTTATTAAATCTACTCGCACAAAGGACTGTTTTGATTACAGGCCGCGATGGGTCACAAACTGGGGTTTGGACGTGGAGTAGTAGCAGTTCTTTCAGTTTTTTTTTCGGCTACAGAACTAAAGAACACCAAAAAAAGTCACACACAGGGCAAACGAAAAGGGCACAGGCAAGGTGTCGAGAGTGGGAAAACGATGGATCGACAGTAGACTATTAGCTGAGCCTACACATTTGGAAAAGTGAGGATCGGAATAAACTCAATTTCAAAACTTTTCCTCCAATTAATGCAGACTTCTGTAGAACTGTTTTAGTTGAGTCTGATAATACCAACTGCGTTTCAAACTACTGAGTTCAGATGGGAAAAAATAAATATTTTTGTTCGAGTTCAGAAATATGAAAAAGTTAGAAGTTATAGTGCCGTTGTACAAATTTCCATGCAAAAATCATAAACAGCATGGCAGTTCTGATGAAAATCCATTTGAATTTTTTCCCGATTTCAGTGAAGTGATCATTTTCATACCCATCTATGACTGAGATCCTGGCAAAACATACATGGGAAATTCTTATATGAAAAAGTGTTATTGATGAAAGAAATAAGCGGTCCCCTTTCTATTCAACAACTGACGGTTCATCAGTCGAGTGATTGGGGGTATGAGACATGCTCTAGGAAACTAGCTGCTACGAGTAGTTTACGTTTGCGTGAATTAAACAGTGATTGGGGGTATGAGACATGCTCTAGGAAACTAGCTGCTACGAGTAGTTTACGTTTGCGTGAATTAAACCCTCGAAAATAAGTCCAATTATGACATTTTTTGGCAAAATGCCAAATTTGAAAAATGACGGCACAATGCCAAACTTGGTGCCCCTTCTGACTCTCGAAAGAAAGTAGAATGCATGGCGCATTCCAAAGCGATATTGATCGGCACTGAGAGCTTCAAACACATCCTTTCTTTCATATTGAGCACAAATAACAACCCACACAGATACTGGATGTTGTTGAGGAGATGGCAAATATATTTGTGTACGGGTGACTAGTGAGTATGGGACCAGTTTATCAAAAATTTAAGCAAAATGAAAGGAGTGGTAGTTTAACTAGTAATGAGGAGTTGCATAAAGGAATTAATAGACCAAAATAAAAAGCAAGTTATAACAATTCAAGTAATACTTACCTGGAGCCGACTTCACAGTGTAAGATGCGCATTTTTGTTGTTGAATGTAATTTCGCAGAATGGCAAATGAAGTAATTGCATTCTTATCGACGCTATCAAGGCAATAAAGTGAAGACATAATCTTAAAAGAAAAAACAAGTTTATTGGAAACCAGTCACGATCAGACAGTCATGTTAACCTTACCGTATCACGAAATTCCTTATCTGATATGGTAGGACTTTGTAATTGAAGATAGGAGAAGTACTTGGATGGACATCGGGCTACGCACATCTGAGAGACAATTTCTATTTTACAGTATAGATTTACTAGTAATGGGGTTTTCACCAGTCATTGTACTCACCTGAGGTGTTTGGCATCCTCCTAGAGCTGTTGAGTATGATATACACTTTGTTATATCAAAATAGTACAAATATGGGCGATCTCTGAACGAGCATTTATTACAAAAACAGCTACAGGTTGATTTCTGTTTGTTATTTTTGTTCATTTTGTTGCTTTATGTTTTCAAAAAGATCGACTGGAATGTTCTGTTCAAGGTTTGCATCCATGGATACATGGAGCGTTTCTGTAAAGAAGAAATAGCAGTTACTATTGATGTTACTCTGAGATGTGATTGAGTTATGAGCATTGAATCACTCCAATTCGGTAAATTCAACTTTTCCGGGCCCTTCAGAATCATTGCTATCGTTTTGGCTGCAGAATGCAGCGCTGCTGTCGCGTGCGTCAAAGAAGGGCATATTCGGTAATCAATACTCGCCACTATTGCCCGCATTCTGTGTGGACGATGTAATATTTTCGAAAGATATATATATATATACAGATATGTATACTTGTCGTCTTAAAAATGCTTGTTAATTAACATATTTTAATTTGAACTCTTTACTTGCAGCCTTCTCCTTTGCTAGCCGCTCTTGGCTAGTGGACGCACTGCTAGCGGAGTTGTGAGGCATAATTATTATTCTCAATGATGTTTGAACTCACGTAAGGTTGTAGGAATTCGCTTTGAACCCCCCGCAGCGTTGCCCGGCCGAGTCCGTGGGCAATATGAGTCGTTCTCCGTCCCCCCAGAGAAAGCCTAAATAAACAAATACTTGAGAAGGCCATTGTTTTTATATTTATATAACCATGCAAATCCGATTCATGAATGACAATTGGGGGGTCAGAGTGATCTTCAATGGTGGTAAACACTCACCAATTGTTGCCACCACTCCCCATCCGGCAGTGAAAACGAGGAAAAGAAAACAGCATGCCACATCGGTACACCCTCTGGAATAGGAATTACTATCTACAATCACACGAATGAAAAATCATTTGAAAATCCCCTGGTCTTAAAAACGCGCACCTTTCCGTGTGCAGTTGCGGATTGAGTTTCTTTCTTTGCTTACCCGGCTTCACAACGAAACGTGAAGTGTGTTCGGACGGGGATTTACCTTCGTCTATCACGTCATAGTTCAGCTCACGAGCTATCGGACCTTTTTTGTTGTGCCCAGGTGGAGGTGCCTTAGGAGGAGTAGGGCCCCATTCGGCTTGTCGAGGCCCCTGATTAGGTTGGGATGATGATGGCTGTTGCCAAGCAGGCTTTGATGACGTGGAAGAAGGGGTTGGCCATCTGGGTGGTGGGCTGAGTGGCAGTGGTGGAGGCAGATAGTAAGCTTCTTGAGGTGGAGCAGTCGGTACGACTCCCTGCCGCTTCATCGAAGCATCTGAAGATGGGAACGAGAATGTTTGCTAGTTGAATGGTGGAAAGCGACGCGAAGACGACGAATGTCAAACTTTTTCGAGAAAAAGGAGACACACAATTACGGCAAGGTATTGTTACGGTTTTTTTGCTGTAGTTGGAAGTGATTCATGGCTTTACTAATGTCTGGCCTTCAAACTACCCCTAAAAAGGGTGCCTAAGTCTTTTTGCCTGTTTAAAAAAGCAAAATGTCATGTGGCCACTACTCATTACTGAAAATGATGAGAAACTCGTGAAAAAGGTCCCAAGAATGGGTCGCGAGGGTGAATTGGCAGAGGTGTCAATAGAATGTTTGCCGTCGGATGACCTCCAATCGCACACCGATATTGAAAACCAGTAGAGCGAAGTATGACAGAGAAAAGGAATGAGGACAACGGGCGACGTTGTGGGCGAGTGTCATCCACTTGCACTCTGCCGGACTGTAGTGCAGTAGTAATTAACAGTAAAGAATCGGTAACACTTCAAGGGAACTGCACGCTAAAATGATTCTGAACTGCGAAGAGCCAAAAACTGGTTCCAGTATCCAAGAGTAGTACAGTAGTCAAGGCTGCAACAGGTAACTAGTCATCACCGGTACTACCAGTAGTTGATTTAGTGCCTAACGTGNGAGTAAGGTCAGAAGGTTGGAATTCAGCGAGTAACCAGTAAGAATCAGCCAAAGTGGTAGTACAGAAATGAGAACATCAAAGTTGCTGTAATACGATGTCGAACATCTAGGTAATTCTAGCCACTCGATAAGTATGTCCGCTCCAATCGATCACAGATACCGTAAGAAAAACTGTTCATGGGATCAGCCACTTCAACACATTGATTATTCAGTCACTACTACTGCTTCTATTAATATTGGGAAGGCATTCCAATTACGTATCGGACCTACTGACCCTTACCTTACATTACTATCAGGTACTCCTTTTATCCGAGTATTCGGCCAACTCATTTTTTCTACTCAATAGTAGAAAACGCTTGGTTAAATACATAGTAAAAAAACCTTCACACAGTAAAAAAATACGAGGATAGAAGACATGAGCAGAATGGGTATCGATTTTTTCGTGGTGAGCCATGCACTGAAATTACGGGAAAGTTGAAATTAGCAAAAACGAACTGAGACAAAAAGGAGCTAAAAAGTTAACGATAGAATGACTTCTGAGAGTCAGATTTAATCAAAGACAAGGCTTTTTAGAGGTTTTTATCGTCTGAATCAAGTTTCATATAATTAATCTGCGGAAAAGATAGAAGGGAGTTAGTCTGGGCCGGTTTGGATCCCCCCTTTGAGATGAGGCGCCCTTTCATAGTCTAGATTAAGGAAAAGACAAAAAAAGTTCGGTATTCGGAAGACTGTCTTCTTGTGCTATCGAAATTCCTCAAATTTCAGCTTCTCTGTTTTTCTTGGATATTCAAAAGCTTTTCATTGCAAAAGTGTTTGAATATTCACAACAGTAAAATCAACAGTTGACATGACCTTTACTTCACAAATCCTCGCAACGATGAAACATCAGATAGGCTAAGAACTCGAAAAACATCAGCGAACGCCTAATTAGGGCTTAAGAAGCGCATCGTACGGAAGTAACCTTGAAGACGACGAGATAAGTCGATGTCTAGCCGAGGTTAAGCGACGAAATGCTAGGCCACGAAACCTGACTGAATAAAAAGGTGTGTAAACGAAGGACCCCACAAATAGATGAGTCATACGGCTGCTGCTGGTTCAGAAGAGAGTGACCAGCTCGGGGGGTGAGGAAAACAAACTGAACGTAATGGCTCGATCCCCGTCGTCAGTCCAGTCCGAAAATGGCGGAGGTCTCTATTTGGCCGAACCCACCCGGCCGGCCGACCGGACAGATTGCGGAGAGCAGCTGGTTGAGCGGCGCTCACAGTGGAATCGCGTCAGTGTCAGTTAAGGAAAAAAAACCTGTTGAATAAGCTGAAATCCTCTACTTTTTCCCTCATCAAATGCCAAAGTAATGCCAGTACGGTAGATGAGTAGAATGGTATTGACAGTAAACTGGTTTATGGATGTGTAGAGAAATTAGGAGACTTGTTTGCCGTATGCGATTTTCTTGAAGAGAGCTGTTCATCTATAGAACTGGATTATTAGTCATCTTTTTATTAAAGAAAAAGCCTCGAAAGAAAGTAAAGGCAAAATGTTTGTACAATGAGAGCCGCACACTTCGGGTGGGAACCACAACCGCGACTTCGGTGGACGTAATTATTCCAAATAATGATAAATAAAAGAAGTAAAACTAAGTGAATCAAGTAGATAGTTGAAGGAATTCTTCATGGGAACAATTTGTTTTTCGGATCTGACAGAAGTATTATTCCAACTGGTTCTCACTGAGGAACCTCATGCTAGCCCATCGTGAGAAGTGGGTTTCAACTGTGAATCAGTGATTTGGTTTGAGCCGTGCACCCCCTAATAAACCGGTATCATCCTTGGAATTGTGTGACTTCTCAATGTTCCTGGTACCACTTTGACAGCAT